GAGGCGGTGCCAACTCAGCACAACTCATCATTACACTTGGCCAAGTGGCACGTTACCAGGATGAATGGCAATAAGCCGCCATTGACTATTCTCATGTAATGATTACATATTAGATAAATGTTGTAAATAAATATAAAAAGAAAAAAAGTTCTCCAATCAGACAGAAGGGAGACATACAATGATATTCAAAACATTCCATCTTATTTCACGGTTCATGTAGTCTTTGTTACCTTATCTTGAATTTACAATAAGTCCCTGTTGATTATATAGTTGTTAATTCTCGTTTAACAACAAAGTCTTTCCGGAGACGTTGCTTACATTTTTCGTACTTGCCCCTATTTACCCTTATTTTCCTCGACTTTCTTAAAAGTGTACCGTTTTACTTCAAAACACGATGGGACGATAAATATATGTTATCCACATCAAATAATGGTGTCGTGTTCGAAAACAAGTCTTTCCAGAGACGTTGCTTACATTTTCGTACTTGCCCCTATTTACCCTTATTTTCCTCGACTTTCTTAAACGTGTACCATTTTGGTTCAAAACACGATGGAGCGATAAATATATGTTATCCACATCAAATGATGGTGTCGTGTTCGAAAAGTCTTTCCAGAGACGTTCTTACATTTTTCGTACATGCCTCTATTTAACCCTATTTTCCTTGACTTTCTTAAACGTGTACCATTTTGCTTCAAAACACGATGGGGTGATAAATATATTTTATCCACATCAAATAATGGTGTCGTGTTCGAAACAAGTCTTTCCAAAGACGTTGCTTACATTTTCGTACTTGCCCCTATTTACCCTTATTTTCGTCGACTTTCTTAAACGTGTACCATTTTGCTTCAAAATACGATGGGGCAATAAATATATGTTATCCACATAAAATAATAGTGCCGCGTTCGAAAACAAGTCTTTCTGGAGACGTTGCTTACATTATCTTACTTGCCCCTATTTACCCTTATTTTCCTCGACTTTCTTAAACGTGTACCATTTTTCTTCAAAACACGATGGGGCGATAAATATATGTTATCCACATCAACTAATGTTGTCGTGTTCGAAAACAAGTCTTTCCGGAGACGTTGCTTACATTTTTCGTACTTGCCCCTATATACCCTTATTTTCCTCGACTTTCTTAAACGTGTACCATTTTGCATCCAAACACGATGGGGCAATAAATATATGTTATCCACATCAAATAATGGTGTCGTGTTCAAAAACAAGTCTTTTCGAAGATGTTGCTTACAATTTCATACTTGCCCTTATTTACCCTTATTTTCCTCGACTTTCTAAACGTGTACCATTTTGCTTCAAAACAAGATGGGGCGATAAATATATGTTATCCACATCAAATAATGGTGTCGTGTTCGAAAACATGTCTTTCCGGAGACGTTGCTTAAATTTTTCGTACTTGTCACTATTTACCCTTATTTTCCTCGAATTTCTTAAACGTGTACCATTTTGCTTCAAAACGCAATGGGGCGATAAATGTATGTTATCCACATCAAATAATGGTGTCGTGTTCGAAAACAAGTCTTTTCAGAGACGTTTCTTACATTTTCGTACTTGCCCCTATTTACCCTTATTTTCCTCGACTTTCTTAAACGTGTACTATTTTGCATCAAAACACGATGGGGCGATAAATATATGTTATCCACTTCAAATAATGGTGTCGTGTTCGAAAACAAGTCTTTCCGGAGACGTTGCGTACATTTTTCGTACTTGCCTCTATTTACCCTTATTTTTTCGACTTTCTTAAACGTGTACCATTTTGCTTCAATATACGTTGGTGCGATGAATATATGTTATCCACATCAAATAATGGTGTCGTGTTCCAAAAGAAGTCTTTCTGGAGACGTTGCTTACATTTTCGTACTTGCCCCTATTTACCCATATTTTCCTCGACTTTCTTAAACGTGTACCATTTTGCTTCAAAACACGATGGGGCGATAAATATATGTTATCCACATCAAATAATGGAGTCCTATTCGAAAACAAGTCTTTCCGGAGACGTTGCTTAAATTTCGTACTTACATCTATTCACCCTTATTTTCATCGACTTTCTTAAACTTGTACCATTTTGCTTCAAAACACGATGGGGCGATAGATATGTGTTATCCACATCAAATAATGGTGCCGTGTTCGAAAACAAGTCTTTCCGAAGACGTTGCTTACATTTTCGTACTTTCCCATATTTACCCTTACTTTCCTCGACTTTCTTAAAAGTGTACCATTTTGCTTCAAAATACGATGGGGCGATAAATACATGTTATCCACATCAAATAATGGTGCCGTGTTCGACAACAAGTCTTTCCGGAGACGTTGCTTACATTTTCGTACTTTCCCACATTTACCCTTATTTTCCTCAACTTTCTTAAACGTGTACCATTTTGCTTCAAAACAC